ACCAACTAGTGTCACAGAACTCAAGTTGCTCGGTGAAGATGGTGCGCTGATTGCTGTAACATCTTAAATTCCAAATTTCTTTCACATATCAACAGCATTTTATAAATTTATCAAATAAGAAATGGAATATATATATATATATATACGTTAAAAAGTTACATTTTATGCTTGGAAATGTTTATAATTGAGTTATTTTTAATTATACGTTTATATACATACAATTCCCTACTTCATACGATTCACCTATCACTAAGAATCATCCACAGATTTCTTACATAAACCATGTTGATATCAGCTGATGGTACCGTTTTGCAGACGGAGAAATTCAGGAGCTGATAAAGGAGAGCGCAGCAGTGCGTGAGAACGCGTACTCGCCATACAGTAAGTTCAAGGTCGGCGCCGCGGTACGATGCGTCGATGGTAGCATCTCACGGGGTTGTAACGTGGAGAATGCGTCTTATCCGGCGGGCGTATGCGCCGAGGTCACGGCAATCGCGCGGGCTGTGTCGGAGGGGAAGCGAAAGTTCACAGCGTTGGCCGTGGTCGCCGATCAGGAAAATACTTCGTTTACCACGCCATGCGGAGTGTGCAGGCAATTCATGTCCGAGTTTGGTGAAAACATGCCCATTTACTTGACGAGATCCGATATGAAGAAAGTTTTACGGACTAAGGTGAACGAACTGTTGCCGTTGTCGCCCTTCCGCACAAATGATACGGAGACTTCATAATTTATCCTCGTTGTTGAAGGCGATGTTCAAACAACACAGAGGCTACAACGGAAGGTGTTGAATTTTTCTATGTATGTATTTATCCAGAGTATTTATTCAGAACCGAACATTTGTAAATCTTGTTACATACATATGATTCGGCATATCAACATAAGACTTTATTTCAATGAAATTAAAATCGACGATGCACAAGTATTATTTACAATGACGTGATATATGTATATGAATAATGAAGTAGCTATTGTGCAAAGTGACCACGTTAATAGATTATGTGTACACACGTACACACACGCGCGCGCGCGCGCACACACACACACACACACACACACACACACACACACACACGTGAGACGAACTATCATAAAATCTTGAACATGATTAATAATTTCATAAAAGTTATAAATGCAAAAGCAGACGATTGCACACTTACGAGGATTCATCTTTAATGAGTAAAGTCCATCCTCATCATTTACCAAAACGGACACCTGTAATAGCATACAACAATGAGATCGTTATTTTTTAATATAATTTATATACAATCGTTTCTTGCAATATCAAAATAAATACTAAATAAATTGTTGATATCTACATATATAATATGAAAAAATATATAGATTGTAAGTGATAAAAATAAATAGTAATGTGCCCGAAATTTTCTAGTTATAAATTACGTACCATCCAATATAACATTGGCAAAGATTTTCATTATTCGTAGCTTGCTGGATCAACAGATCGACTTGTTGTCGCACACTGAGAGTTTCTTCATGCGAAAAGTCACGCCCTGTTAATTTATCTCTGACTCTCGTTATGATCGTCAAGGCTTTCTTGTTCAACGCTTCTGGTTGATTATTATCAGCTGTAATTATTGCAAAAGTGCAGATTGTAGATGTCACGATAATAAAATTAAGTGATTTTTTATATAAATTATTTTTTGTTGATTTTAAATTTTTTAAATTTTTTATTACGATTTTGATCAATTTTTATTAATGTTTTTATATATAACACACAGCGCGCGCGTGTGTAATAAAACTATATATAAAAACAATTAATTTATAAGCAAGATGACGATCAAGTTGAAATAACTTAAAAATTACCTCCATTTTCAATGCTACACGGAACACCTTTCTTTGGTAATGTGGCGGTAAGAGAATCGAGCATATCGCCGTGTTCCTGACTGCTGCTGGCACTCATGCCTTGAGTGTCCGATCGTTTGCCCTTGGGCACGGTATTGTCCATCAATCTCCAATTCAGGAGAGGGTCATAAACAAATGCCTCTAGAACCGCCATTAGACTATCCTTGTTTCGATGTAGCACGGACATCACGGACTCGCAAGTCCTTCTATACGTTCCCTCTATTCCGGTCACTTCCATCGCATTGATCAACATTCGCGTCAAACGGAACGGTATCTTCTCTGGGAACTTTTCGCGTGTCATCGCTACCTCGAAGCAATCTCCGAAGTCGATGTGCAATATCTTACCACTGAGACGGTCGAGCATCAAGTTAGACGGATGACGATCACCAAGACCGAGTATGTATCCCACCATAGACATCACAGCTAGAGAGCGCGTATAGTTCGTTCTACGATCAAACCATACTTCGCTCGACGGTGACTTCAGCCACAAAAGTCGCGCTAGGTCATCGCCGTGGGTATGTTCGAGTGCGTGCTCGAATACTTCAACTTTTTGCATGAGTATGAGATGATCATAGTCAGGTGCCATCTAAAAAAAAAAAAAAAAAAAAAAAAACCTTAAAATATTATAAGGCAACGTACGGCTCCAAGAGCGATCAACTCATAATGGATGGTTCGACCTGATACGAGCCTTTTATATGAGGTGAATAATCCATTTTGGAAATCTACATCGTATTAATTTAAATAAGAAAACAGAAAAGTTACATTCTCATATATCTTACAATGTATACTAGACAAATTTCTTAATATAAAAATTTTAAAGCCTCCTCACTCGTAACATTATCCTGTGCTCGATATTCAATAATATCTTCTTCTTTTCTCTGTAGTCTCTAATAAGCGTATGAAGCGTATCACAATGCGGTACCCAACCGATAAGACCACTGTTTGTGGATAATGGAATCACAGCGTATCTCTAAATATAAAATCATAATATTATTCATATATTTCTTTAACCTTTAATTAATATTAAATAATATTATAAACACGTAAAATGCTGAAAATTCTCTTACTTGAATAGTAAGGTTTCTTCGGAAGGTATCCGGATCATGTAACAAGAGAGTGTTTACTAAACCAAATAACTGCATTACCCTTTCATCTTGTCTCAGATCCTCATGACCTTTCAATAGAAACATATAATCCTTACCGTTACTACCTACAAAATACATAGATATTAAAGCAAATTTCATCAATATTATTAGCATGTTTTTTTATATATAATCGAAATATTCGAATCTAATTTACTTTTAAAAAATAACTGACCTTTAATGCATAACTTTCTTGGTCTCTGTTTGCTAGTTATCACCTGCATAGAGCTATGAATGCTTGCTATTCTCACGATAGGTTGACCAGGGCTATAGCTTCCCGGAACAGCTAATTCCAAATCTCTGCAAATGAGCAATTTCGGACTGACATATTGTAATTCCAAACTGGTCAATTGTGGCAATTGTCGGGATATCCTCCGAAATACATGATAATATAAATCCCAAGCTTGATTCAAATCTCTCACGTTCCGAGATGTTTTATATCTGTTACACCATTCCTGTGCTTCTATTAAATCCCTTCCGTAAGCTTGATTGAAGGACGTCTCTTTTAGAGTTTGCGGCCCTCTTTCTAACATGGCGTGTAAAGGCTCTAAAGTGTCAAACATGCCTCTAACATTCCTCTCCCCAAAATATAATCTACTAGCTTCTTCTAAGCCCTCGTGCCATAGTTCGTGCCATAAAATCGCAACTCTGATGAGCTCATCGCTCGCCATCATGGCCTGCTGGACCAATGTCGGACTGTGCTCACACATGCTCTTCAGGATTTTGTTAGCTGCGGTTTTCCTCGCGTGGCTAGCACTTTTTGAAGCTACTGTCAACGGATAAACCAAAGCCTGAGGATGCGTTTTTCCTATATCTATGAGAAGATGATGTATGCATCGACCGACCAGCGCTCTAGGAGTGTCGATTCTGGCTATGAGTTGTGGAATCACTTGCAGCCAAGTATTTATCTCTATTAATCTTATGCCTTCAACCACAGCGTCATACACCTCTGGCCACTGACCATAATCAAACCAGAGTGTAAGCAGGCGGAGGGTGTCTTGCAGAGAGTTACCATCCGACAAGTTGATGGATCTGAAAAATCCCTCCACAGCTGGGACAGTAAATTGAGATATATATTGTGAGCTGGAGAGATTATTGCGCGCTCCGTTGCCTGCAGCCTCCATAGGAGCAGAATCACTACCTTGCTGATGCTTGTAAAACAAAACGGTCTCGTAATTGGTGTAAGCGAAGGCATGCCAAGCTTTATACCATGTGGGATCATGCTCCGTCGCTGCGGCGTAATAAGATAATACCGCGGGAATAGAATGTTCATTTATACCCTGCAAGGACTCCAGCCACTCGCCGAGCTTAAGGTAACACCTGGCGAGCAATCTTTTTTTGCTTTCATACTGCTTCTCGTCCTCTTGATTAATTATCGCCGCTGTTGTCGGCTGCAAGTAGGTCTGCACAAATCGCTGCAGCTGATTGTAAGCCTCTTCGCGTTTATTCGCAACCCACAAGTGCTTGCAATAAGCGAAGGTTACCTGAGGATGAGTGGTCGGCAGCGGCTGATCTGGAGTCAGGGATGGATCTGTGCCCATCAGCATCACCAACGTTTTGTGACATAGCATCAAACTACCGCTCTTCCGACAGAGACTGGCATATTTAAGCCATGTGTACATGTCGTCGTGCGGTGAGACTACCAGCGTATGTACCTGTATGATCTTCTGCCAGTCTTCTACTATCTTTTGTCCACCCTGAAGCCTCTCCCACCACATGGCCTTGATGGCCGCTCTACGTTCGGGCACCAGCTTAAACTGGATCACTTCTTCTAACTCGGCCAATTTTTGCACTTCCACCATGGCGTTGTATGCCCGTTGATAGCTCTCACCAGCCATGGCAGTTAGTTCAGTGTCTAACAGATCCCTGGCACTATCGATAAACTGATGTGCGACGTTGTACTGTTCATCGTGGATCGCCAGTACCGCTCTGTAAAATGCTCCGTCTTGGGTATCCTTTGGTATCAACGAAACGTATTTCTGCATACTTTCCCATTGACCCAAACCCCACGCTGCAGCTGCCGCCATTCTCGACATTCTTTGCTTGGTATCATCGGTCTGATTCGTCCATTGTTTTGTAGCAACCTCATGCAATTGTCCCCATTCTCCGAGAGCCTCCAGACAACGCATCTCTCCCAAAGTAGACTCCACATCTGCGGAATCACTCTCCAGACGTTCCTGATACAGCTGCAATGCTTTATCCCAGTTGTGAAGCTTCTCGTACCAACGTATTTGGACCTTGAGATCTTGCTGATTGTGATTCATCACATATTCCAACAGACCTTCCGCCGCTTCTTTCTGTTGAAGTTTGTTATTGATGGAAATCAGGGACTCGAACACGCTGCTGTTCCTGCTCTTGTGGAACTCGTCCTCCTTGTAGTGTAATGCCTTGGCATATGCACGACAATGCATTGCCGTATCCCCGAGAATCTTATTGTCTAATGGCAGAGGACCCTTGTCAATGTGTTCCATGAATTCAGCCAAGTTCAGAATGGTTTGCGTCACTTCGGTGGGCAGATCGGGAACCATCAATGCTTGATGCAGAGTCTGTATCAGTTCCATTCGGTAATTCTCGGCAAGTTCGGTCCAGCACGAGACGAAAGCCGCGTTGAACAGATCGCGCGGTAACACAGCGTAGGTTTGCGCCAGCGCCCAGCAAGATCTCAGAGCCGGAGAGGGGGATTCTTTGAGGAGACCGATGGAGAAGCATCGTAGCCATTCGAGCCAATCGTCC